AAAAAAATAAAAAAAAAAAAAAAAAAAAAAAAAAAAAAAAAAAAAAAAAAAAAAAAAAAAAAAAAAAAAAAAAAAGTCCCAACAAAAAACGAGTCCAAACAAGCAAAAAAGAGCTTCAATCCAAAAGAACGATTCCAAGACCATATTACAAAAAAGACGATCGAAGCCCAATGACTTCAATCTAAAAGAAAACTACCAAGGCCATAATTATAAAATCTAAAAGAATAATACCAAGGCCATAATCACAAAAAGTTTAGAGACAAAAGCCTACAGAGAGACATTAGACCTACCCACTTTCCAAACCTCTTCACATAATCTCTTAATCTCTCTAAAAATTATATCGCTTCTCTCAATCTAAATACCCCACAAAATTGCAAAGAAACTCATTTGCCACAACATATTGCCAATCTCCTTAAAAGGAGGATTCGAGAGCATCTGCTCCATCATCCATCTAGTGATCCCAGATGAGAAATGGAAACTGATAATCCCACAACACTTTATCAAGACTTTCATCATGCCTCTTGCAAAAAATGCACCACAAAATAATTTAAGAGATCCACACATAAATTTTACTCCGAATGTACCAGTCATAATGTATTCAGGGTGTTTTAAAAAAATAATACAAATTCAGGGTGGTCTAATCTGGAGGCTGCCACTTAGCGAACTAGAATTTTGTGTATTCTTCCAAGATTCAAGGTAGCCTTGGTTTTGGCTATACCAGAGAGAGGAATACTCCTCTAACCAAGTGGCTTTTGAGGGCAATTCCTTTCAGAATGGTGCTGAAAAATAAATATGATATTGCTAAGCATGGTTTACGGTCTCCTAAATGTTCTTGAGTTAGTGCTAAGTTCCCTTCGTCTTGTCTACCCACAGTACAAAGTTTTCAGCTCTAGATTCTGTGAAGAAGTCATTGTTGAATTGAAAAACAGAAGGTATCCTGAAGCATTCGACAACCCAGGCAAGAGTTACTTTCAACGGACATAGTAATACAAACCTGGTTCCCTCTATACCAGCTATCTACTTGGATTGTGAAGGCTTTCCTTTCAATGGTGACAGAGCAGCATCTGCAATTGCATGCCAGTGATGGAGATGATGGTTAGGTTAAGCCATAGCTGTAAGTGAAGAAGGGGAGACATGGGAGAGCTGCTAGTTGATAGGGAAGTAAAGTTCTATGCTAAGGGCGAATATTCACTTCATTAATACCCAATTTAAAAAATTCAACCGATCATAGCCTAATCAAAATTCCACCTCACTGAATTACCAACAGAGATGGACATGGGGTCTTTTCAACAAAATCCTTGATGATGGACATGGAGAAAAAGTAGATGCAATAAATCCTACGGTAGCAAAGACAATATGGAAAGGACATCAACCTAAAAAGGTGAACTTCTTCCTTTGGAAAATAGCGCATAAAGCCGTCAGAACAAGTGAAAATCTTCAAAAAAGAATGTCTTACATCATTCTCTCTCCAAATTGGTGTCCATTATGCAAGAAAGAAAACGAATCACAAAGTCACTTGTTTATGCAATACACATACGCTCAAAATTTTTGGGCAATGATTCTCAATATATTCGGATGGCATCTCACATTTCCTAGAGAGGTAAAGGATTTTTTTGGATATGGCCTTAACGTACCACCCTTTCAAGAACGCAAAAGCCCTATTATGGAAAAACATCATCATAGCTTTCTTTTGGAATCTGTGGAAAGAAAGAAATTAGAGAACATTTGCAGAAAAAACACAGACCTACACAAAACTTTTCAAAAATGTAGTTTACTAAGCTATATGTTGGTGTAAACGGTCTAATATTTTTACTTCCTATAGTTATACCTCCCTCATTGCAAATTGGGAATGTCTTTTGTAAGCACCATGATCATACATCCCTTTTGTAAATTTCAATCATCAATGAAATTGTCTCTTAAAAAAAAACAGAGAAAAAAAGAGTCCAAGACTAAAAGTGTCGGAACCTGGAAATAGAACTACTGTACAATAAAGTGGCACATCATAACTCCCCCATTCTGGAGATGAGCTAGCCCAAATAGCAACATGAAGAGCGAAGAAGTAGATGGCATTCCACATGACTAAAACAAAGAGAAGATCTAAAGTATTCAATCGATATCTACACAACTTATTTGAAAATGAGCAACAATCTAACCATCTATACGTAGCACAAATAAGCAGTATAGAACCATACCAAAAGTTGCTCCAAAAAGCCGAAATATGAAAGTATGCTAACCAACACTAGCACAGAAATATCCTGCAAAATCCTATGAGAACGAAAAGAAAGTGAGATTAATTCCATTCCATTTCCTTATATTGATGCTAAAAATACCTTCAAGAAAAAAGAATATTATTAAATGAAAGAAAATTAAAAACATATTTTGAAAAAGAAAAGGAAAAGTGAAGTAATTTGAGACTCCAACAAAAATAAAAAACCGAACGAATGATACTCTACACACACTACACAACATGCATTTGAGAGACCACAATTCCAATTTGTCTCTGAGTTGATGCATAAGAAGTGAATGAAATTTATTCTCGACAATTTTCATAAAAACCAAACCAAGAGAGCGATGATTATGCTATCACAATTATCTTTTAAAATCTTTTCCCCCCTTCATATAGGACATGATAAAGCCACTGTCACACAGTTCGGTAATTATAGAACTCATTAGCATTGGGCATATATATTTCAAAAAATCCTTTGAGAAGTAATCAAAATTAAAAAAACATCCTTGGCAACACATTAGACAAGTATCAGACAGAAGCATTAATAGATTGCTTTCAGGTAATTGATCAAATAATCCTCCCTTTTCGCTAAAATTCAGATGCTATGAAACGTCTTGCTCAATATTTCCTCCATCATTGTCTCACGGTCTTTGTTCCCATCACCCTTCATATGTTTTTTCCTCCCTGAACTTCTTTTTCCTAACCTACTTGCATTTTTCACTTCTCTGCTAACTTCGTCATAAACATTTCTTTTTCTTATAATAAATTAAATACTGGTGTAAATTGGCCCAAAAAATCTCTGACATTAACCATCCAAGTTCCTTCTTTCCTTAACAAATCTCAAGAAACAAGGTATAGGAAGTTCAAGTGATGAGACATTAAATTCATGTCAAATAAAAAGAAAAAAAAGTCTGTCATAGTATTGGAAAACAACTTACCAATTGCGATGAACCTCCCTCTGCTGCGATGTTACTGGGGGTCGTCTAGTAATAGGGAGTGTGTTGTGTAATTTTAATAAAGTCACTGGCAAGTTTTTGACATCCTGGTTGCAAATATCACAGATCTTGTTACCTTTAATGCTGAACCACTTAATTGCACACTCTTTGTGAGCGAGAGCTAGGTCTCCTTTGCAACTGCATTCCAGTTTAAGTGCATCCCCGCCTTCCACCAATTCTATATAACAGATCCTGCAAACTGCTTCATCTTCAGGTATATCATCACCAGCAGGTTCCCTTTCTAAGGAAAAAAAACCAACTTCAGCATGTCAATCTAAGAACTATAATTATCCAACTTCATTTGTATTATGTCAGAAGTTTTGCTTCTTGGAAATATTTGCAGTGAAGAAAACTAATAGTAATAAAGTACTGGAAACAATAACAGTTGAACATAAGACATTTAGCAACACAAATGAGTGGCATAGTTTTGAGAGGAACAATAGGATCTTTAGAGATGTTGAGAGATCTTGACAGGAGTTTTGGGACTTGACTAGGTTTAATTCTTCTTTATGGGCGCCTGTTAATTCAGCATTTTGTATTTACCAGCTTGGTCACAGTCTCTTGGATTGAATTTCTTATAGCTTGTGTTGGATCCCTTGTGCGCTTATTTTTGCATATCCTTGTACATTCTTTCATTTTTCTTCATGAAAACTCAGTTTCTTACCACCAAAAAAAGAAAAAAAAACAAGGTGGCATAATTGCAGTCAGCAAACTGTACTGTTTTTTTGGTTGGTTTTAATCAATTAGGGCAGCATAATTCAATGTTTTTGAATTGGCATCATTAACCAACGACCAGCATTGAGTTGGATAGAATTTATTACTCTTCTCTGTATACATCTATAAGAAAATAAAATTTCTCAAGTATTGAACATCCAGAAACATGTCAAAAAAGCCTTTCAGCTAATTAGCATACTAGTCCCTCTTTAGCACAAAAGACACTGTCAAAATAAAAACTTGCCTTCTGCAAAATACAAAGCTGAGTAGTTGTTTAGGAAAGAAAAAATAATTTTAAAATTTGATGGTTTTTAAAGGAAGAAATAAAAATATATCAACTTTGCTTATGTATCACATTTAGTAATATCTAAATTTTAAAAGGCTTATAGCATAAAAACAATCACCCTCCTCTGGTCGAGGATTTTGAGATCTAAAATGTCAAATAAAAATATCTCAACTTTGCTTATGTATCACATTTAGTAATATCTAAATTCTAAAAGACTTAAAGCATAAAAACAATCACCCTCCTCTGGTCGAGGATTTAGAGATCTAAAATCTCCCTCACAAGAGAAAGGAGCTGGTCAAGGGTTTTAACATCTTTCTAGTTTTCACTCTGTCACATTTATAATATGTGAAATAAGTCGAATCAATAAAATTAGAACTGCAAAAATCATTTCTAATTTATTTTAGGCATTAGTTGACAAGCATGCTGCTTTAAGAATTATGCTACAACAAAAATCATTACAAAAAATTAAACATCTAAGAAACGAAAACCTCAAGGAGATTTCTTTGAAACGATCAGATGTTTCCATAAACATTTTTTTTATTGAAATGAGGAGTATTTTTTTTATAAGCTTCTTCGGTCTTGTTACCAAGTTCCTACTTGTCAGTGATTTACTCGGAGAAAGTTTTAATTCATAAAAGGCACCATAACATACATGTAGTCAGGTTGTGTCCTCATAGTAGCAATGCATATAGTAATTAAAGTAATATCGCACAAAAAATCGCTAAAGTTTTAATTATACAGTGGAAACAACCTATATCATTACCACTTTCCTTTGTTTGAGAAACAGAGGTATCTCCAGTCCCTGCATATTGTGGACCTGCAGACACTACTCGAATTAAACCTACTGAATCTAGTCGCCTTAAGACTTTAGGCTTGGCATTCAGAGGAGCTGATAATGAACGAGCAATATGCTGCTTGACTTCAGTTTTCTGAAAGAATAACAAAATCCACTTTCAGAAGGAAAATAATATTGCAGTATTCACAAGTAGTTGGCGTCAGGTGTATGAATCTCATCTGCTTTCATGAAATTTAAGAAACTTGAACAAATGGATACTTACAAGGAAACCAGGATGAAACTCCATGTTTGTTGCTTCAAGTGCATCGATATTGGAACTTGAAATTGGTGTGACTGGTGAAGAATGTGCAGCTTTTGTAGATGAGGCAAAGAGAAGCTTGTTAAGTGAAAAAGATCGTGAGGTAGTTGCATTGTCTGAACATCTATTTGATGGTTGCATCTCTGGTAAAATAGGAATAACCATTTCACCATCTGGGAGTGAATGTTTTGCCCCGAAGCTTTTTTGAGGAAAGAGGCCTCTCGCAGATGATTTGACTTTTACTGAATTTGGTTTTGGAGGCAATCCTCCCCTAATAGAGCTAGAACTTGAAGTCGATGAACCATCCAACCTCAAAAATGACAAACTCTCTACATTCCTTACTGGAATTTGCAGAGATGACAAATTGGGCCGTCTAGACTGTTTCAATAAGGATGTTTCGATCACATTTTCCTCTTGATCATGTTTCTAAGGAAAAACCAAGATCTGTCTCAGTAAATATAATAATTTAGCAACTTAATAATGGAATGTTGAAGCAAAGGCTAATTGAACTAAGGCACCTGACCATTCAAATAGACTGAAATACAAAATAAAGGGAAATCCTGGCAAGTTAACTATTGCCTACCAGGAATCAAAAATAAAAGGTGCCAACCAGAAAGGTAGCAACTAGTGTGAAACACTTTATCAACTTAATCTCAAACATCACTTTTCAGAAAGCAATGAGCTTATAGAGTAAAGGCCTAGGAAACATGAAGCTTCAACATTGTCTTTCTGGATTATAAAAAAACAATTTTCAAAAGACAACAAACAGCTCATTTTTTCATAAAGAAAATAAACGCATTGCTCTTTACTTTCCATAGACAACGGTGAATATGTTAAAACCATGTTCTCCATGATTGTGAAAGACTTTTCAGCTAGATGGCTGTCTAGTTTCCTGATGAACTCAGAACCAGCACGAGGGGAAAGTATCTACAGCTATGTTTCATAAATCCATCGATTTGATCAAATTAATATGGATGATTCCGAACCTATGTTACTTCTCTTCGAGTTCCGGGTTAATACCAGGTAAAAGAGCCACACCATGTTTGATTGGCAATAGCTACAAAAATAAACCAACATTCTAATCAATTTTGCATGAATATGCTGTAAATTTCGTATAGAACTGTTTGAAGAGAGATTCCAGTTTGGAATATAATTCTTATTGCGAGAAGATCAAATTGGACTTCACTCCCATCGTACCTAATTACTCTCTTCGCCGTTCAACCAGATTGGCATGTGCAATAACACATAGAACAACATTTTAAAAAAGTGATAATGAATCATACTATCGAGTGGCGAATGCCGATGAAACTTTCTAATTACGGAGAGGATAACAACAAGAATAGCTGGAGTATATCGTTGAAGGATTGAACAAAACAACCTCGGGATGATCCGGATAAACTGAGGTCGAATCTTCGGTGCCTTGAAGTCGAACTACAGCGTCGTCCATAAAGCTCCGCGAAATTTACTCCGATGAAACGAATGAAGAAGCCCTTCGAAGACGACTGGATCTCCGCCGAGAGAGACCACAGCTAAATTGTAGAGAAGCTGTTGAATGACGAACGATAACTCGAAATTCAAAGCTGATCGGTAGTCATCGGCGCACGGGAGAGT